TTAATCAGCAAAAACAAAGCATTTTGCCATTGCATATTGGAATCTTGATTGGTGGAGTTCCATTCCGCAACAAGACGCTGTGCCCTTTTTTATTTTTTATTTACAATATATTTTTTAATGTGCGTCTTTCATGCAGAGTTGGTTTGAGAAGAGAGCCCATTTAAAATTAATGTGTGCAGTGATTTTGGAACAAGTGCTCAAGCAATGGCATGCCCATGTAACACATATTTAAATGCGTGTCATAATTTTTTATATGTTCAAYGTTAATTTAATTAATGCCAAATCTAAGTTCGGTAATGTAATTATTGGGTTTAATTAACAATTATACAGATGAAATCCTTGAGAATTTCAGAGATGGTTGGTGTATTATTACGATTTATATAAACTTTTTTTCACAGGAACCATTATTAATTAAAAGGAATATATACTATAAATTTATATATATGATGGGTGAGTTATGAATGCTGACTTTTATATTTATATTGGCTGTCATGGTATGAAGATACGTGTCGGGTGCGATTAATTAAAATTGTGCTTTTTCAACTATGACCATGTTTACTTACATGCAATTCTCATTGGAATGAGAAGAAATCATAATGAGAATATTATTGTTTTGATTTTGTTTATTAGAAATTTTTGGAAATTGAAATAAGAAATCCTTTTAGGTTGGAATGAGAAGAAATCAATGGTATTATTCCTTTGATTTTGTTTATTAGAAAATTTTGGGAATCGAAATTAGAAATTCTTTTACGTTGTTTGTAAAATTGTGAGCTAAAATCGAGGAAATAGGAATTAGATATGTAATTAACTGTAACTAATTGTAAATATATTATTCATTTTTTTAATTATTATTATTGTTGATAGTAAAATATTTTTTATTATAATAATTTATTTAATATTAACAAATAATAAATAATAAATATAAAATCATATCATTTAAAATAATTTTTTATTAGAACAACCGTTATTTAATATAAAATATTATTAACAATTAAGAGAAATAAATGAGAAAAAGATTATTAGCCGTATAAATAAAAATAATAATAAAAAACAATTAATTGAAAAGTAAGGAATGTGGAGCCATAGAATAAGGAATGAGAATAAAATTGACGAGGTTATAGGGTAGTGATTACAAAGTTTGAAGTGAGTTGGATCGATCAATTTCGTTTCTACGGTTTAGTCAATGCTATCAAAAGAAACAAAAATTCTGATTTGTATTCATTAATTTCTATTCCATTGAAGTAAAGGGAGCCTATGTGACTTCTAGAAAACTCCATGACCAACCGATATGTGTATTTATAGCATGTATATAACTTCTTTGATAATTATGGATGGAGTTTTCTCTCTAAGCATTTAAGGCAACATCACATGCATCACTCTCTCTCCTTCATGCATCACTACTTACTCTCTCTCTCTCTCTCAACATGCAATTACAAAAGTTAAACCATTTCTCTCTTGCCATATCTACAAAGCTGCTTATTGGTTCGTAGATATCTGCTATTGATCACCGTTAAAAAAATAGATGTATAAAGAAAGAGAGCGAAAATAGATTTTCTTTTACCCATGGTTGTGTTTAAGACTGGCATGTGTCTAGGACATGCAAGACGTCAATATTTCATATATGTCATCATTCTCGAAAAAAATTTAGCACACAGAGTATAGATATTCTTTTCATTATGTTAGAATTGTATTAAAAATAATGATACAAGGTTTATCAATGTCGAGGGTAAAACTCGAGTAGGACATGTATCTACTTTTTTCAGTGGAAGCGGGACCACGTACGGTCACGTTCTACAACCCGACGTCGTCGAGTAGGACACACGTCAGGTTGGGATGGAATGATGGACCACAGGCGGTTACTCCCCATACATAACCGTAGTAGGGGAGGGTGCACGTTGTCGGTACTTAGGGCGCTACAGCTGTAGGGAAGGAGTCCTTGAGCCACAAGTGGTGTCGTCACTTTGCGACTGTTGGAAGTATGTCCTCAGATGCTCTCTAGACGACACATTGCACTCCTACCACCTTTAACCGTCGTCTTTCCTGATAGTCCACTCGAAGTTATAGAAGGAAGGACCCTCGTCCTCACAAAGTAAGTGAAAAATCTGTTACTTATATTTAAGGTATCTTGTTCCTATTTCTTCCTCGATGACTAACTTGATCGTCGAAGTGTTTTAGGCAGGACACCGCATCAACATCGAGTAACTTCGATTTCAAGCTCACTCATTTCCTAGTCGGACTGTTCGTCCGAGTGACACGTGGCCTACGACCGGAATTCGCCACCAACAACCAATATTAAAAAATTATTTACATAATAGTGTGAACAAACTATCTATAGTATTCTCATAATACTAAAAAAATTTTCCACCACTCTCTCCCTCATGTTGTAGGCGAAATCGAGACTTTGTAGCGGCAGTTATTGGGATATATATAAAATATATATGCCAAAGTGTACGGTTTTTATGATCAGTAGCATATAATATATAGTATAAACATATGCACATACGTACTTATATATGAGCGGATAATTATTTCAAAAAAAGCATTCATTCGATTTCTTTTCAACGGCCAAAATGCCACATCAATCACTTCTCTTGTGAAACAAATCAATAAATTTAAATGAATCTTTTTATAGCACCAAATAATAAAAGTAGCAGAGAATTCTTGATCTTTAATCTCAATTTGAGGATTTGAATGGTTGAATCTTAACTCAATTACCTGTACTTGCTCAAATTGAAATTCTATTATTTGTCAAATTAACTCGTAGATGAATTTCGTCATCAATATCAACAAGATTTTGGTGTCTCGTATTCATTTAGACATTACTTACTACTCTAAATATCATACATTATTTGAATCTTCTACCTTTATTGAATTTCAAAATCATATCACATGAGGTAAAGCTCGCATCATTATTATTTAATTTGATAAATAAGATTATGTTTAGTACAAACAAGCGAACAATGTGGTTGTACCTATCAATTTAAATCATCACTAGATTTGAAGAGTTAAAATGTCAATTCTAGAAATTTATAGGACATATGAAATCTTTAATGGTAAAATACGTTTTTCTTTTCATTATTTGGGAAACTATTTTCAAAACAACCCAATTCCCTTCTCTACAAGAATTTCTTTTAGAATAAAAGGCATAAAAGTACACGTTAAAAAAATTTGAAAACTTAAAGTTGATGCACTGCAAGAAATAAATTTTTTCTCGACGCGTCAAAACGTCAGAAAAAATCTTCAATTCATATATAGATATCTAACAACATTGACTCATATTTGTGATAAAGAGTAACATTGGTTGCGATAGAAATGATATATTGATCGAAACTAATGAAAAATTATAGTACTGCTAATAATAATAATAATTATTATTATTATTAATTAAGGAAATGGCGCAGCATAAATTTAAACTACGATAATGATGAAAATTGTTGTGAAACCACCAGTATTAATATGCAAAAATAATAGTAATAATAATAATTAATTATGGGTCTAATTGATCATGACGTTATATATGGGGGAATTAAATTTTGATGATGAACTTTGAATATATAATCACCATTTACATCCCCTTAGGTACCACAATAATTATCCTTCGGAAATCCCAAAAGTCGATCATCGGCTAAAATTAGGGTTTTCGTCACAATAAATTTAATATTTTAAATCGTTTTTTAGTACAATAAGTG